CATATCCTTAAAACCACTTACAAATTTAATTGTTATTCGATTTTAAGGGTAAACAAATACTAATGCTAACAAAAGAAACTCAATTCAACACTAGGAATGATGATAGTGTTGGATATCTATTTTTTAGTTTTACATTGATTTATAATGAAAATGCTTAACTTACTTTATCTTTTTCTTTATTGTTTAGTTATGTAATTAATAGTACTTATTAGCTATACTTAGTTTAGCATGACATATATAGTATATTTAGATTATGTTAATTTTAATTATGCTTATTAATTAGCAATATTTGCTTTATGTAATTTTATTATCTTTGTTATTGAATATTTTAGGATAATGCTATGACTTATTTCATATTATTATGTTATTTTCTCAAAAAATACATTATATAATTATATCTTAATAGGACTAAAAATATATTTGGTGCACAATTTACATATTTAGTGCTATGAAGACTTTACCGGGAAGAAAACCCGAAAACCCGAAAAAAACCGAGTTTGAAAAACCCGAGTTTCTTGGTTTGGTTTGGTTTATAGATTTAAAAACCCGACACCATTGATTTGGTTAAAAATTCCAAACCAAGCCGACCCATGTACACCCCTAGTAATCACCATAGTGGAGGCCGAATCATTGATGGATTTCAGGCATGACAAAGGAAAAGGCAAAGAATCAAAGGTTAACAATGTCAAAGGTGGGGGAGACCGTGGCAAAGGCAAGGAGATACAATAACAATACTACAAGACTCAAGATTCCAAAAAGTCAAGTGGCCGTTAGGGCTACGCTGAGAAGAAGGCGTAGGCCAAGAAGAAGGGATATTACATATGCGGAGGGCCGTACAGCTTCAGGAATTGTCCCGACCTAAAGAGCCTCAGCGCCATGGTCCGTGAACGGAAGGAGCAGCCGCAATGAGAGAGTTTGGGAACCACACAGTTGGGTATGATCGGATTATGTGGTTCTGTCACGAAGTAAGCTATCCAACCTACCGAGAATGGAAATAAGTACGTTGATCTCACCATCAACAACAAGCCTGCTCGTGCAATGGTGGATACTGGAGCAACTCATAATTTCGTGACTGAGGCTGCCGCAAAGAGACTAGAATTGAAGCTTGCTCCAACCAACTCTTCCGTCAAGACTATGAATGCCGAGGTACAGAATGCTCGTGGGGTAGCTAATGGAGTTGGTGTCAAATTGGGAACTTGGAAAGGTATGACAAACTTTACCGTAACCGCTATGGATATCTTTGACATCATATTGGGGCAAGAGTTCTTTAGAAATTGTCATACTTTGATCGACCCCACCTCCAACATCTCTTGGTTATGGAGCGAGAAGGAGCTTGCATGGTACCTACAGTGACTATGCCACACAGACAGATCTAAGCACAACTCTCAGCTATGCAGGTTGTCAAGGGGATCGAGAAGGGGGATCCAACATTCATGTCAACCATCGCAAGTCTAGAGGAAGACGAGTTTTCAAGAGACACTTCCGCCTTGCATAAAGAAGTTTCTTGAGGAAAACAAAGACGTCATGCCCGAGGAGTTGCCTAAGCACTTGCCGCCTAGGCGAAAGGTGGATCACAAGATTGAATTGGAGGCAGGGGCTAAGCAACTCGCATTTGCCCCATATCGTATGGCACCGCCTAAGCTAGAGGAGCTCAGGAAACAATTGAAAGAGCTGCTAGATACTGGTCACATTCTCCCATCAAAGGCACCTTTCGGCGCACCAGTATTGGTATAGAAGAAGAAGGATGGATCACTGCGCAAGTGCATAGACTACCGAGCACTTAATAAGGTCACAGTGAAGAATAAGTACTCGATCTCACTCATTGCCGACTTGTTCGATATACTTGGGCAAGCCAAGTACTTTACAATGGTGAATCTTCGCAAAGGCTACTACCAGGTTTGCATTGCAGAAGGGGATGCACCGAAGACAACATGTGTGACGAGATATGGATCCTTTGAGTGGTTGGTGATGCCCTTCGGCTTAACCAATGCACCGGCCACATTTTGCACCCTTATGAACAAGATTTTTCATCCCTGCCTTGATTAATTCGTGGTAGTCTACCTAGACGACATAGTCATCTATAGCAATACCTTGGAAGAGCATATGGAGCACTTAAGGAAGGTTTTCTAAGTCTTGCGGGAGAACGATCTGTACATCAAGAGGGAGAAATGAGAGTTTGCACAATCAAAGGTGCACTTCTTAGGCCATGTTATTAGAATTGGCGAGCTACACATGGACGAGGCTAAGGTACGTGCTATCTAGGAGTGGGAGGCACCTATAAAGGTAACTGAGTTGAGATCCTTCCTTGGCCTTATTAACTACTATCGTCGGTTCATCAATGCTCAGCAAAAGATGCACCATTGACTGAGTTTCTAAAGAAGAACAAGCCATGGGTTTGGACGGAGCATTGTCAAAAGGTGTTTGAAGGCCTTAAGGCAGCTGTAACAGAGGAGCCAGTCCTGGCATTACCTGACTTTACCAAGACATTTGAGGTACATACAGATGCCTCATATTTTGCCATTGGGGGTGTCATGATGCAGGATAAGCATCCTATAACATTTGAGAGCCGCAAGTTGAATGAAGCGGAGCGGCGTTACACGGTGCAAGAGCAGGAGATGACTGCCATTGTGCATTGCCTTCATACATGGCGACATTATTTGCTCGGGTCGAGGTTCGTGGACAAGACCGACAATTTAGCTACTAGCTACTTTCAGATGCAGAAGAAGCTCACACCAAAACAGGCTAGGTGGCAAGATTTCTTGGCCGAATTTGATTATGTGCTGGAGTATAAGCCAGAAAAAGGTAACGTTGTAGCCGATGCCTTGAGCCGGAAAGCTGAGCTTGTTGCAATCACTTCAACAAAATGGGACATTCATGAGGTTATAAAAGAAGGCATGCAGCATGATCCAGCAGCCAAACAACTTATCGAGTTAGCCAAACAGGGCAATACGAGACGTGTTTGGGTCGAAGATGGCCTCCTGCTTACCACATGCCGGCGGGTCTACGTGCCTAAGTTTGGATACATTAGGCGGTGTATCATAAGGGAGAGTCATGACACAATGTGGGCTGGTCATCCAGCCCAACGTCGTACTAGGGCCTTGGTTGAGTCAATCTACTATTGGCCACGCATGCGAGATGACATAGAGTGTTATGTGGAGACTTGTCTTGTCTGTCAATAGGACAAGGTTGAGGAGGAATTTTGGAGCCACTACCAGTTGCAGAGCGTCCATGGGAGAACGTGATTATGGACTTTATCACTTGCATGTCGAAGTGTGACGGTTATGGTACTATTATGGTGGTCGTGGATAGATTTTCCAAATATGCAACCTTCATGCCCGCCTCACCAGGTTGCACTGCCAAGGAAGCCGCCAAGTTATTCTTTAAGAATGTGGTGAAGTATTGAGGCTTACCGAGGCATATTATCAGTGATCGAGACCCCCCGTTTTACTGGGAACTTTTGGAGAGAGTTATTCGACATACTTGGCACGGAACTGCACTTTTCCACTAGTTTCCACCCACAGACAGATGTACAAACGGAACGGGTCAATGCGTTACTAGAATGCTACTTGAGGCATTATGTAAGCACGCATTAGAAAGATTGGGCAAGGCTCTTAGACATCGCCCAATTCTCTTATAAATTGCAGTAGAGTGAGTCCACGGGGCGGACACCATTTGAGCTAGCCACGGGCCAACAGCCACAAACTCCACATTTATTACCTGCTGCATTCGAGAGAAATTGTTTGGGGGCTTATCATATGGCCAAAGGATGGGAGGAGCAACTTGACACTACTATGTCCTACTTGGATAGGGAAGCTAAGAAGATGAAGAAGTTTGCGGACCATAAGCGGCGTCCCACGGACTATAGAGTTGGGGACGTGGTCATGGTGAAGTTTAACCCAAGACAGTTCAAGGCACTACGGGGCATGCATCAGAATCTGATTCGCAAGTATGAGGGGCCATTTAAGATCATCGCCAAGCTAGGCAAGATCTCATACAAGCTTGACATGCCATCGTATCTTAAGATCTACCATGTCTTCCATGCCAGTGTGCTTAAGCCATATCATGAAGATAAGGATGATCCGAGTAGGGGCCAATCAAGTCGAGCGCCTATGACTATCACCTCCTCGCATGATAAGGAGATTGAGGCTATCATGGATTACCAGGCCACGCGAAAACAAAGGCATAAAGCCACTGCTATGTTCCTCGTCCATTGAAAGGGGCAATCACCAGATGAGGCCACATGGGAACGATATGAAGATTTATGGCAGTTCAAAGATAAGATCCGAGAGTTTATGCGGCAGCATTGCGCCGCGGTCGTCGCAACATTAGGTGGGGGAGAGTGTAATGACCCGCCATGTCATCATACCACATAGGTGCCATTTGGCATATATTAAAGCATGTGGAATCTTACATAGGAGGAAGGCTAGCATTTGTGAGAAGATTCTAGAAAAGTATGGACATTTCCTTTGGAAGATCCTAGATGCTTATGGATTTGCTAGGAATGTTCTTGAAATCTTCTAGGCTTGTAGAGAATTCTAGTGAAAGCCTTTATCTTGTGAATGTTAAGGACTTGTGTAACAATTAATATTTACACACTAGCCCCTAGGAGACTAGTATATAAAGGGAGTCATTCATTTGTAATTCATCAAGCAAACAATTCGAGTTCTCTCTAATACAAAGCTTCCTTTAACAATTCTCTTATGTTCTTTCTACCAATCTCTTAGCGATCTTGAGTGTAGTAAGGTTGACTTGGCATAGCAAGAATATGAACAAGTTGTGCAAGATCGTTAGCGAGTTGTCAAGTATCGCACGTGTACTTAGTTAACTACTAAGGACGTGACACGATGTCCAAAATATTCAGAAAAGTTATTTCTTTAAAACTAACTCAGTTTTCAGCTTCACATTCCGATATCCGTTTTAAACTCAGCTCACAACTTTAGTTTCAGTTATAAGATGCAGACTTAGTATTCAGTTTCAGCATGTATTTGGCCCTTCTTTAATAGTACTAAAATCGCATTCATCATATCCTTTCAAAATATTTTTAAATTGGTATGCCTTCTTAAATACAACGGAAATCATACCTTGGCTTATAGGCCTTAAACATATGTCCTTGTAGATAAATCGTATTCAAAAATATATGGCTGAATACATATAGAGATACTTAGAGTCCTACGATTTTTTGTTTAGACTACAATAAGATACATTTCACTTCGACAATTGAAGTCATGAGACAAAACCAACATTATATTTTATCTAACATGTCCATTCTCTTTGTCTACAGTGATGAGAAAATGGGAACACCTACTAAAGTTGTTCCAGCGTCGACAATGAAGACATTGCCTGAAACATATTCTGAAGAATCATGAATTAAGTACCTGACCACTGATGTTAAAGCCGGATCTGTCGTTCCAAGAGTTTTCAAAGGAATGGTTCTCAAAGTAACATTATTGAACCATTCCTTTTGCATAAGACTCTCTGTTATTTCAGATTTGAAAATTCCTGGTGATACTGAGTTCACTCTGATCTTCTCTACTCCCAATTCCAGGGCCATCATCTGCCATTCCATTATTTGAATAATCAATTAATGCAAATACAATTAATTACCATGTATAACTGAGAGGAAAAATCGACAATTCTCATGTATTTGTTTTTAAAAAAAAGTGTTAAATTTGGAGAGTTGAGATATTTGGCAAGCTTTTAGAGAAAAAAAAAAAGAAGCTATTTTTTCAGAAGCTGAAAAAGTAATTCTCTTATAAGCACTCTTGACACCTTGGCCAAACACAAATTGTTACTCTAATATTAAAAAAAATGCGAGTCGTTCCTGCATTTAACTATTTTGCTTTCTCATGGAAGATTTAATCTCTTCATTTTACATTAGGGTGGTTCCTAACTAATGTTACCATGCCCTAAGCTAGCTACTTTATAGACTCCGCCTTCATCAAATTAAACCTTTTATTAAGATGGCATGCAAGAAAGGGAACATTGGCGTAACTGGTAAAGTTGCTGCTATATGACCAGGAGGTTACGGGTTCAAGCCATGGAAACAACCTCTTGCAAAAATGCAAGGTAAGACTGCGTACAAAAGACCTTGTTGTCCGGCCCTTCCCATATCCCGCTTGCATAGCAAGAGCTCAGTCCTTTTAGTAAGATGGCATGTAATAAGGACTCAACCTTAATGATGAATATTCCTTCAACAGTGCGGTCGAATGAAGCTATAACTAATTGTGCTACAAATCTCAGAAGAAAACCAAAGTAATAGTACAAGTACCTTGGTGACCATGTCAAGAGCCATCTTTGAAGAAGCGTAAGCAACACCCCCTGGTATTAGTACCCGATTCAGACCAGCAGTTGAACTGATATTAATAACAGATCCTCCGCCCTGTTTAGCATCGCGCATTCGTCTACAAATATATTTGGACACCAACCATGCCCCTCTTAGGTTTGTCTTAAAGGTATGGTTCCACTCCTCCTCTGGCAATTTCAGTGAAGAATGCACATTACCTGGTCAAATAAAGTGACTATTTAATTTTAAGTACATACTCAAGATAAAATTTCTAGCACCACAACCACAGCATTGTATGCTCCGCGTCGAAAGTATTGGGTTCAGTTGAACCTGATAGTTAGATGTTGCATCCGCCCCTGATGTATACTCACTATGTTATCGTACCTCTAAGTCCGGCATTGTTAACCAAGGCATCAATACGTCCGAAGGCGTCCCAAGCTCTCTGTACAGCAGCCTCAATTGTAGAACCATCCGCGGTGACATCAAGCTGGACGGCGATTGCGCGCTGGGTGTCTTCCGAGTTATTAATCTGGTCGCAGAGAGATTTCAGTCTGTTAATACGACGAGCGGCAGCAATGATGCTGCAGCCGGCTTTCGCCAAGTCGAGACAGAACTCTCGCCCTATTCCTGACGACGCACCTGTCACCATTACTACTTTTCCGCTCAGGTCTTTCCACGGCTCCATTGTTTCTGTATGCATTAGTTAATAATGCAGAAAGTTATGGATACATACATTTTATGCTAATAGAATTTAAATGATTAATTATATTTAAGCAAAAAAAGAAAAAATAGACAAACGCGTATTGTTTGCATATGGAGAAGTTTACCATAAATTGATATAATTCCTATATTAATTGAAAAGGTCATAAAATTTCGGAAATGTTAAGGACTTCTTACCTAATTCAAATAAGGTTTGAATTAGTAAACCAAAATTTGATTTGATTTTAAAGTCCTAAATATTAGGAAAGTAATTTAAATTATAATTTTATCCAATGTAAAACTGATTTTTAAAGGGTAAAAAAAGTGAACGATATTTCGTTAAGTGTTTTCATACTTTTAATATAATATAGATTACTTATTAAAGATCACTTATTAATAATAATCTGCTTTCTCTCTTTCAAAAAGATTCACACTATTTCCTTATTAGTATGTTTCAAAAAGATTGACACATTTCAATATTTGCTCAATAGGAAGCATTTATAGCCACACATATATTATGGCAGGTTTTAGACTACAAGTTTCAAATATTTTACAGCCACACAAATGGTATGGCTTATTTAAGACCTCATATTTCAAAAGTCTTTCTTTATTTATTAATGTTTGTCAAGTCAAATTAATACAATCCTTTTTAAAGAGAGGGAATAGTAATGATCAAGAGAGACTCAGACTTCACAGCCACATTCAGACCGGTGGCAGAGCCACATTCAACTAAGGGGGTCGATTTCCAAGGGGTGTATCGACACCCCTTCGCAGGAAAATTACATTATATTGCTAGATAAATTTTTCCGTTTTATATATATTTACTATTTACTATACGTTGACTACCCTAAACTTTCGTTGTATTTATATTTTTATATTTTGGCATCCCTTGGTAAAAATTCTGGTTCCGCCA